AGTGGAAACGAGGCCTCTCGCCCCCACTTCGACGGCAAAGACCCGTACTGCTAAATCACTGCACTTCTCGAGCTTATACATGTGATTCTCCTCCATACGCGACTCAAACGGGACGGTCAACTCAATCAGGATGAGCTGCCGTTTTTGCGCAGAGTGGAGAACTATGTCCAGTCGCAGGCCGGTCTTACGGATCAACTCGGGGTATCTTTCATGGCCCGGCAGATCAACCGCCAGTAATCAGTCCCTCGCAGAGTCTAGCACAGATGGAGCGAATGCGTTTTGGTTGACCTTACCTTTTGGAACCTGCCCAGCCTTGAGGAAACGAATGGGGACGATGCTAGAACTGGCCCTTGCGTTGGCCCTCATTCTAGCCTGGTCAACAACGGCTGCTAACTCTTTTAGCACCTTGTTGTGTCGCCAGGTATATCGGCCTTGACCTAGGGCTTTCCTGCACGCGGACAGGACGTGTTATAACGTCTGCTTCGCTTTACACAACGGGCAAGTCGGATCGTTGGTCGCAGACCATTTAACCATGTTAACACCGGACGGTAATATATCGTACGCCGAACGAACGATAAGGCTCAGTCGCAGCGGGGTCATCCGCCAGATCTCACCCCATGTGAGTATTCTTGGCAATGCGCTCTCCAGGCTGACCCAATGGCCCTGCTGCGACTCCTGGGCTGCTTTCTGGACCCGAACCTCGTTTTCGTTGTCCCTCACCGTTTGTATTACCATGTCTCGGCGTTCTTTGGCTGAGGCCTTTGACCACCAATTGACCTTCCCGTGCCCTAGGCCTCGACGGTCGGTTTGAGTGTATCCCATTGTCTCTTTCAATTTTAGTGCGTTCTGGGCAGATTCTATCGCATCGAGGACCCTCCACTTCTGACCAGTCTTTAGAGCGGGCTGGACAGTGATGACATTTGGGTCTGAAGACTCGTGCAAGAGCATGGCGAGCCTTACCTTGCCGACTTTAAACTCTTCGGTTATCGATTTGAACGGAAGTACCAGCTTAGCCTGCTTGCAATACAGAGCCACGTCGGTCAGACAAGGCGGTGCTCCAATCCACTTTCTCAAGGCTGTGTTGATTTTCTTCTCCATGGTTTCCACTGCAGTCATCGTCACCTCGTAGACTAACAGTGGCCATAGGAGTTTCGGAATCAACATGAATTGGAGACACCATACCTTGAATTTCCCGACCAGCCTGCAGCGCTCGATCGCGAGCAGGCCTGTAGCCAGTGACTCGTGTATTCGCCGGACTTCCGCTCTATCAGATAACTTCGAATCGTAAACGCGACCGAGACTCTTCACTGGTTCATCCAGAACCGTAGGGATCTTGTTCCTTGCCACCGTAAAACTGGTTGCCGACACCCTGCCCTTAAGGATTGACAGACTCCTCGACTTCTGCGGTTTGAACTGGATACCGCTCCATTGGACCACCGCGTCCAATCTTTCCAGGATCGTGCGGGCAGACTCCTCGCTGCCCGTTATAATAGTCGTGTCATCCATAAATGCACGTAGTGACGGCAACCAGTGATCCCCTATTTGAAGGCCCAGTCCGTAGCCGGCTGCCCCGTCTAACATGATCTGCATTGCAATGACAAACAGTATAGGTGAGATCGTACACCCCATAGCTATCCCAATCTGCAACTCAGTCCACCTCGTGGTAAACGTCAAAGTAGAGAAGCGCAAAGCGAACTTAGAGAAATATTGCTCGATCATATCATTGACCTGTGCCGGTACGTGGAACATGCGAAGGGCTCGCCAAACTAGCCTATGGGGGACTGCCCCGTAGGCGTTGGCTAAGTCCAACCAAATCACATGCAATTGAGTTCTCTCATGCTTGGCTCTCTGGATAGCCTCTTAAATCATGGTCGCGTGTTCAAGGCACCCAGGAACGCCCGGAATACCACCCTTCTGAACACTCGTATCTATGTACTTGTTAGCCATCAGATACTGTGTGAGCCGGCGAGCCATGACCGAGAAGAATATCTTACCCTCGACATTCAAAAGCGAGATGGGCCTGAATTGGGAAAGACTCTTCGAGTCCTGCTCTTTGGGAATGTAGACCCCATTTGCCTTTGACCACTCTGGACATATGTGTTTGCGGATCCACGCTTGTTTCAACAAGACGTGAAGCATTTTTAGGATTTTCGGGCTACGCTTGTAAAGAACGTACGGAACACCGTTCGGACCTGGGGCAGACTTGCCACTGGCTTTTTTCACAACTTCCTCAACCTCAGACCAAAGGGGAGGTATCATTTTAAATGGTACCTTCGGCACCGAAGGCTGTTTGAGGCCGCTAAGGATCTCTGGATTGTCATCGAGAGGCTCTCTACTCTTTTTGTCAGAGTACATCTTGCGTAGATGTAGCTCAAGTTCTTCCTGACTGACAACCAGAGTCCCAGACTTCGGTTGCTCGAATAGACCTCGGGCAAACTGATACGGGTCCCTAAAGAATTTCTCTCGCTCCCTTTTGGTTCTACGTCTGTTGTTACAGAAACGCTCGGCGCGACAGAGGGCACTGTGTTTGTTCTTTAAATGCAACCAAACTTCATACAGCCCCTCCCGTTTGCTGCCTGTAGCGGCTTTGAACCGTTTTCTGAGGGCATTCTTGTCTGCCCGACACTTCAGAATGTCCCTCTGCCTCCTGCTAGTATTCTGCTTGGCACCCGGCTGTGCCTTCTGCACTGTCCCGAACTCGCGGGAGCAGTGTTCATATATAACATCACAAAATTTCGTAAGTTTGTCGCCTAGCGACTTCTTGTTTAGATCTTGCTTAAGTACCTCACATAATGTAGCCTCCAACTTACACCACACCACCTTCTCGCTCGCAGGTGGAAACCTGATTCTGGAACGCACTTCTTCAGAAATCATCAAAGGTGCTCCTCCGCAGTCGACGTCATGGGCCTCTCCAGCCGAGTGGGGTTCACCCAGCCCGTCGTTCCCTGACGACTCAGAAACTACCACAGGAGTAGTAGTTTTGCGACGGCGTTTACTGCGTGGAGCACCCTCGCATTTAATTCTTCTGGCATGCGTTCTCAGACCATGCAACCCCGTGAAGCTTTTCCCACATGTACAGAGCCAGCCCGGACTTTGGGCGAGTATCTGAGTCCGGGGGCTAGCATTGTCGTCACCGAGAGTATCAATTGGATTGGGCCCTTCATTCCCCCCCCCCTTTTCGGAGGGCCCTGGGGGCATATTTCTATGTGGTTGTACGAAATCGGAGGTATTATACTGTGTTATGGGTGATCAACCCGGTCCACAGTCGACATCTGTCTCCAGATGTCAGTTTATCCCCCCGGCGATACCGGGGGGCCAGTCTTTCCATAGGTGTCACAACGTTTTTCCCTAGAGTCACCAGTCTTTCCTGGTAGTCTTGTGGGCTAGCCACGTACAATAGGAATAAACTCACAGGGAGCAAGTACAGCAGGGATCTACCAGTCATCAGTAAAAATTATCCTCGTCGACACGCGTTTCGGCCCACGATTCCTAGACGCATTCGGAGGTGGGCCTTCTTGAGTTCATGAAGCTCAGGGCTGGTTCCCTGCTGCACGAAATTACCGGATGGTGTTTTTCTTTCGGCCAGAGACAAGACGCTTTGTGGTTTCGCAGATAAAGTTTAACATGGACAAAATACCTCAACTTTCGGGGTAGGACACTGCTCATGCGCTAATTCTTCTCGATACTCAGATCAGGCAAGATGTCAGTGTTTGTATTTTTCTAAGTCCATGGTATCCTAAGAATTGTAGACATTTTGTTAATCTTTAAACACTGCTAATTGTCACATTGTCTTGTTCAGTGCCAAACAACGTATCAAACATTTCTTGGTCATTTCAAAGCCAATATGATGTTCTTTATGCCTTCTATCACAAACATGCATTTTTAAATATAAGTTTTTACATCTGAATTATTGTTTGAGATACCTTTATCCCAAAGAGCTGCCATTGTGAAGTGGCTAGAAGCTGGTCTGCAGATCCGAAGGTCGTGGATTCAAATCCGAACTTAATTAAATTTTTTTCAAAAGTGGCATTAGCTCCCAAGTAGACCTATTTTTGAATGGGTGCCAGGTGAAGTCCTGGAAGTCTTCTTCTTCTTGGCGTTCACCGCCTGTAAACTACGGGGGAAAGTTCTGGCTGTTCAACCACCTCTGAACTTTAGACTTGTTGCGGAGCCTGAATGTTGCGTGCACATCCGTTTTACAAATATGAATTATTTGTGTGCAGATTGTTGGTTTCTTGCCTCAAGCAGATGCGCTTCAATTAGTCAACTTTTACGACATACTTGTTAGTGAGGCAGTAGGTCTGTTCTTGTTTCCACTACAATGGGACCCCGGAACCCACACTGGGATCCTGGGAAGTGAAGGCGGTCATCATGATATTGACCACACCACACACCGAGTGCCGACAGATCTATAAAATATGGGTCTAACACTGTATACTCATTATCTCTCAAGGGTTGAAAAGAATCCTTTACTTACGTTCTTTTATCTCATGCTGTTTCTGCTGAGCTCCTTGAGACCAAAGTATTTAGTGCTTTTAAGCTCAGCTGATTTATCAACTGAAATAGAGATATTCATTACGGTCTGGTGATGATAGCGCTACTGGGAGTTACCAGGGGATCTAGCCAACGCTCAACACTTAAGGGAAAGTCGAGACGAATGTACAGTCAGACAGTTGCTGGTACTCTTCTCTTGCTGCTGAATGTGGGGACAGATCGCTTATAAGCGTGTCCCAAGGGCTATGGTGTTGATTCTCAATTCAACATTCATTCAAGCTCAGTTGCCTGGGCTGAAGTGGTAAAAGAAACAAGAGCTTAGGACTGAAAGAGTTAATGCTTCTGGGTGCTGACGAATACAATATATCCTCTTTTGTTTCTTTTCTTTGTCTTTACAGCTCTTAGAGATGTCTGAGACTTGTCGACGCTTCATGCGGCGTGGAAACGATCAAAGAACCTGACGAGGATGTCCATCGCAGTCTATCAGCTGAAGACACACTAGCATCATGTTTCATGTGGGTGGACACAAAGGTGTTTGCGGCAGGGGTAGATCCAGTGGATTCAGTCGACACCACCCCCATTTCATGGGACACGTCAACTGGAAAGGCCCCCTTCGCTGCGGAATCATCTTCTGCACCATCAGCTGCATGCTGTTTGTCATCGGCGTGATCCTGACCTGGCTAGGTATTCGTAGAA